ATTTTGTGATTACCACGCTCCGCTGGCTCTGCTTGATGGAGCAAGGCTCATTTTGTTAACGTGGGAATGGAAAACTGTGGGCAAGTGCTGGCTGCGGTGCATTTCAGTGCAGCAGCGGGGCAAAGCCAGGCCGATGCGTCCGACCCCGTGGGTTTGCCTGGTGTAGGTGGAGCGACACAAAGCTCCTCCAAAAAGCCTTTTTTAATCGCGTTTTCTCTCCAGTTTTGGCAATCCTCATTGCAAAGCTGTTTCCTGATTCTCGAGCTCTTCAGGCAGGGAAATGTTACCCGAATGAGACTTTCCACAGGTTGTAAGGGAGCAGCCACGCACTGAGATACGCTCGAAATAATCTTTGAGCTGTGTGCTATTGGAACCATCTGCCAAAGCACGGCTCTGTCAGCTCTCCGGGGAGGTTTGAACTCCTCCCTGGGTCTGCTTTAGAGATGAATCTGGCTTGAACCTTCTTCTGTCTCTGTTAACTCTCCATCTGTCTGCTTCATTCAACGTATCTGAGACTGGTCTGGGTGCCTCCAGCCCTCTCCTGTGGCCAGAGGGCTTCCCTTCCTAAGGAACGTGTGTTCTGGGAAGGGATGCGCTGGGGGGAGGCATGGGAGGTGACTGCCCTGAATAATTCATTTTGTGAGGGACTCGGGGAAAACGGATTAGCCCTTCCTTCAGCACATCAGGGCAGGGAGTTCACGCAATGAAATTAGAGCAACAAATGGAGATCAAATAAAAGGCAACTCCGCTTTATGCAGCATGGAGTTGCTAGGCAGGGTTCATTCCTGCAGGAAGTCATTTGTCACAGCGTCTGGGCTGAGGAGGGCTGGATACCTTCCTGGCAGCTAACGATGTTCCATGTGGGAGATGAGGCTAATCGGATCCCATGGGGCAGCTCCAAGCCGACAGCGTGCAGGGGTCAGGAAATGATTTAGCATCTCCAGCCAGCCTGGCTCTGCCTGCCAGCACCTCGCAGGTCTCTGCTCTCCTGGCATGGGTGAGCCCTGGGCTGTGGGCTGGTGCCCGAGGGCTCCTGTCAGGGCTGTGGGAGGCAGCTCTGGGGCTCTCCTGGGCTGTGTGGGGGTGGGGATGTGGTCCCATGGGTGGCACCAAGCTGCTGCTTTGCCTCCAGCATCTATGACCCCTCACAGTCACCCAGCACCCTGCAGTGGGTCCGTAGCAAGGACAAGGCCATTTTCCCTCTCGAATATGCTTCTTGCATCCCCAAACCCTGATCCAGAGCAAGGTTAAAGTAGAACAATGGGACCCCAAAATACTCCAAAAGACCTGCTCTGAGCAGTGTGTCCTGGCAGTAACAGCACAGAGATACAGCTCCAGTGCTTGGGTCCTGCTCCTGTCCAGGATGCACTCAGCAGTCTCAGGCACTTGGAGCTTGCCAATCAAACACTAACCCTGACACTCATCTTCCTGGCAATACCTGTGCTCCTGTTGGGCTGGCTCCCTGGGTAGCCTGCTGCCAGTGTAAGGAGATTAAAGCTTTGCTGAAGGGCTTTTCCTGGGCAGGAACTGCTGCACTGGGAAGGATTTTGTATTCTAAGAGCAAACCTTTCAGCACTGTTGTCTCTTTGGGCAAACTGCCCAACTGTCTGCTTTTGGGAAGGCATCAGAACGGAGACGGAGCATGTGAGGTGAGCGTGGTGGGGAAACTCTTCCAGCTGTTTATGTCTTGTAAACAGGAGAAAACGCTCCGATGGTGAAGGAAGGGGATGTGCAGGGGCACAGCAAATGGGTGCTGTTTGCTGTGACCAGACCTGGGGAGACAAAGGCAGTGATACCTGTGATGCTCATCAGCATGGGCAGGGCTCCTCTGCTCCTCCCTGGGCTATTGGTCATGGGAGCCCCTCACAGGGGTGGGCTTTGGCCTCATGGCTGGGGCTGCTCCCTGCACAGGGTGGGCAGGAAGAGGGGGACCACGCTCCTTCACAGTCGGAGAAGGAGACTTGGACAGTGCAACCCTCTGCCCAGTGCTGCCCAAGCAGGCCCTGATGGGCATAAATGCCAGTCCTGTCACCCTGCAATGTCTTTTCCTGTTCCCTTCCTCAGAGGTGTCTGCTGGGAGTGTTGAAGGGGTGACTGCAGGACTGGCTGTGCTATGGGACAAGCTGCGGTGGCTGCAAGGAGATTCCTGATGAGTGGCTCTGCCCAGTGCCTTGCTGACACAGACACTTGTGTTGCACCCTGTGTGTTGAGCAGCTCCCATGTTATAATAGTATGTGCCAGAGCCTTGTGCAGCTCCCTGGGTGCACGGTGTTGGATGTTCCCACCATCTCTTCCCCATGCTAAGGTGATGTATGTTTAAGCTGGCTGGAGGTCATGATGCTGGAGGTGCCTGCTCTTCCCTAACTGCACACTGGATAATGGCAGGGTCTGTCCTCTCTGATGGTTCACTTTGACAGTGGTTTTATTTGCTCTGTGCTGTTGACGTCACTGGACCAAATGTCAGTTGCCAGCATGGGGGTAAGACCTTGCCTTGTACTGGGGACACCCACAGAAACCCCAGGGCAGGCAGTGCTGGAGGGGAGTCGTGGCCAAGGTCAGTGTGCAGCACATCCTGCCCGACAGCGTGGGCCTGCAGTGACAAAAGCCCTTAGGAAGCAGGGAATTCTTGCAGCAATATTGCCATGCAGTGCAGCCAAGGGATGGATTTCTCCCTCCTGCCATTGCCGAGGACCTTGCAGCAGCTTTGTCCACTGCAGTGGTTTGCAGCGCTGTTCTGAACGCGCTCCCAGCCACACTCTGATGGATAAAGCTTTAACTCCCTGGCCTGGCTGGCAGCAGCCAGTGCTAATGGCAGTTCTGCCTCTGCTGTGCTACACCCGCAGCCCTCGCTGCCCCAGGAGGTCCCCCCATGCCGAGGCGCAGCCAGACATGTGCTCTGCGATGTTCATGCTCCAGGAACACGTTTTGACGAGGTTTTTCTGCTTGGCGGCATCTGTGGTCGGTTTGGAAATTGCTTTATGGTTTTTCTCGAGGGTTTTTCTCAGTGGTTTAGGTCAAGAAGCCCTTCAGTGTTCAAAACATTGCGTTGCAGCTCATCTAAGCGAATGAGAACCAAGTCCCTGTAAGTCATCTTTGTGGCAACTGAATAGCATAGAATCAGGGAACGGTTTGAGTTGGAAGGGACCAACCAGCTCATCCAGTTCCAACCCCCTGCCATGGGCAGGGACACTTTCCATTAGAGCAGCTTGCTCCAAGGCCTGGCATAGAGGAATGGCACCAGGAAGTTCAGCCCAGCAGCTCTATATTTCTTGCACTGAAGTGGAATCATTCCAGCCCCGCTGGGAAGCTCTTGCTGCAGCCTGGATGCTGGCACCAGCTCCCGGCAGCGCCTGCGCCCAGTGTGCTGCGGAGCTTTATTGAGTTTATCCCCACACTTCAGGACAAATCTTTGCTAATAGAGTTCTAATTTCTTCCTTCCTGCTTCCCAGATGCCTCTGTCTCTGTATCCAAATGACAGAAATGGTGAGCAATGTTTTCAAGAAGCTGTTTATTTGCTGGAAAGGCAAATGAGAGGCCCTGCGAGGAGAGGGCTCCTGGCAGCTCTTGTGCCTCTGAAAGCTTCTGGGTTTGTTCTTTTCACAGTGAAAAAGGGAAAAGGAATTTAAAGCTGGAGGTAGCAGGGCACGATAAGGGGATTGTGAGTTCAATAGCGAACGTCGCTTGCCTTCTTCTTGTTCCTTAGAAGTCTGATAACGATGCAGCTGAAGCCTGCGCTGCTCAGCCTGGGTTATGTGCTGTATCTGATCTTCTTATCACTGTTTCCTTCAGCATAACCATGGCTCTTGGGAAAGGGATGTGACAAGTAAGAGAGCCCTGCGAGAGAGCCAAGTTTGGTGCCCAGGTTTCCCCAGGCAGAGGCAGTCTTTGCACATCTTTGCTCTCTTATTCCCTTTGCTCCCATTGTGCATGGTGTCAGCCCTTGGAGCTGAGCTGCTCCGGCCACCCTGTGCCAGCGCCTCAGCACCCTCACAGGGAAGAGCTTCTGCCTAAGAGCTCAGCTCAGTCTCCCCTTGGGCAGGTTCAAGCCATTCCCCTTGGCCTGTCCCTACAGGCCCTTGTCCCAAGCCCCTCTCCAGTTTTGCTGAAAATCAGATGCTTATTTTGCATTTAGGGAAGAAATTAGCCTTTAAGTAGAGTGCTTTGATTGCAAAACCAGGGCTGGCAGTGTCAGATTAGTGTGTGCCGTGAGGGTTCGGTGGTTGAAGGGATGTGGATTTAGTTCTGGATACTTAGGCTGGGTAGCAGCATGTTGGGATTAACGTTCCCAGAAGGGTGACTGTCATCGACTGCGTGTGTTGAGGAGAGGGAGACGTGTGTCTGCTGGTCTGGCAGAGGGAGGCTGCGGAGCTGCTGAAGCAAAGCAGGGCTGTGGGAGGGAGATGCCCACCTGTTCCATCGGTACACCGTTCCATTTTTGGACACATGCACTTTCAGCTCCCATCCCCACAAATGCCAGATTCTCCCTCTCTGCATACCCGGGGTGACCTCGGAGAGTGCGCTATGGATGACAGCGAGCTCCAAGGGAATAGAAGGGCTCGCAGCCCTCTTCTGCTCAGCACTCTGCTTCTGCCTTTGCTGAAGTGCCTGGTCCAGTTGGTGCTGTTCAATAAGTCCAGTTGGTGATGCTCAATGGGTCCACTTGGTGATGCTCAGTCGGTCCAGTTGGCAATGTTCAATAAGTCCAGCTGGTGATGCTCAGTTGGTCCAGTTGGTGCTGTTCAATAAGTCCAGTTGGTGATGCTCAATGAGTCCAGTTGGTGGTGCTCAATAGGTCCATTTGGTGATGCTCAGTCGGTCCACTTGGTGATGCTCAATTAGTCCAGCTGGTGATGCTCAATAGGTTTAAAAACCTGCCACAGCTTTAGAGTCCTGAATGTCTTAAGTCAGACATAAGAGCTCTTTGTTTTCCTAAGCTCTGGGTTGTCGTGGTGCCAATCCCTTAATGTGTGACTGACACTGTCACTGTCTTCTCTTTGCAGTTTGCTGCTTCGTTGTGCACAAGCGGTGCCATGAGTTCGTCACCTTCTCCTGCCCTGGTGCTGATAAAGGCCCTGCCTCGGATGTAAGTACCTGCTTCAGTGCCCTGGGTGAAGGCACAACACGGTGTTTTGTGGGCCATGGTGTTTCACAGCAATTTGGAGACCGTGTTCTTGGCAATGGCAGCTCTGTGCTGTTATTTCACAGGCATCTCGAATTCATTGTTATTCACAGTCGTGGGGGCTCTGAGATTCTGAGACATTTAAAACACTTTCATGTCATCCAATAACTCGCTCTGAGAGCAGGGAGAATGTGTGGGAATGCAGAGACATTTCTGTTTGGGGTTGAGTCTGCAGCTCCCTTTTGTCCCTCGAGCCACAGCCTCAGTTTCCCCATTGGTAAAATGACATTTCCAGGTTCTGCCACCTGAGCTGAGGTTTTAGGTTTGGGCTTAATTAAGATGAATGAAGCAGTAAGGGGTAAAAAGCTGTTTTAAGGCTTTGGCTGATGTGCCCTGGGATGAAGGCGACTCTTCTGGCAGGGTCTGGTTCAGTCCTGATCGATTCCTTTTGCCACAAGTGAAACACCTGAAAGCATTAGCTGTCATTTAAGATGCTCACAGTGCTGCTAGACTAGAGGCAGCCTGGGCAGTGTGCCTGACATCGTTCCTCCTCAGCTCATCCCTTACTCTGAAGGCATCACTGCCCCACATCACTATTTCCACGTTGGTCCTGCATTGCCCCATGGCTCAGCATTACCTGCTCCTCGCTGCAGGGGTCTCCTCACTAAAACCCCGTGCAGGTTTTCAGTCTGTTCCATCTCATCTTGCAGGTTTAATTCAACCCATACATATGTTTGTTCTTCCCAAGGGGGAAACACAGCCCACAGGCACATTTCATGCCTGTGATTTGCATCATCAGCGTTGCTGCGTTTGCTCTGACTCCCTCAGAAAGCACAGCCCAGACCGGGCAGCACCATCAAGGACAGCAGGATTACTGGAAAGCACCAGTTTAGGTGTTCCTATGGGAAAACAGCATTGCTGTGCTTTAAAAGCCTGGAAAACCACCCGAATTCCCGCTGAGTCGATCCCCATCCCGGTTTTCACAAGGCCTTAATTTCCCGGAGCATCCCCGGGCTGCGAGTGGGATTGCTGGAGCAGCACTGCTGCCTGCGGCTCCTCTGCCAGCGCCTCTCGGGTCTGTCTGGCAGTTTGTGTGTTTTCCCGTGGAAACTGGCTAATTTGGGGAACTGCTGGGAGGGAAGGGAGCGAATTGGGGAAACGGCAGCGCTCCACAACTCTCACCCTTCAAAATAGCAGCAGTGGGAGCGGGCGGTGCAACAGGCAGGGAGGGTTGTTTAGCTGAGGCTAAACACACGGTGTCAGTCGCAGGGGTGGTGATAAACGGGGGTTTTGGGGAGGAGGGGGTCAGAGCTGCGGGCAGCCGCTTATAGCGGGGGAGAAGGAGCTGGTGTCTGAGCTGAGCCCTGGCTCCCATCCCTGCCTGGGCTGTGGTACCCAGAGGAGGTGATGGCAGCGGGCAAAAGGCCACCAGCTCCATGGCTGGAAGTGGCCCCTTGCTGCTGCAGCAGCCCCGGGAGCAGGGTGGGTGCTGCAGGATGCTGTGGGTGCCTGTGGGGTGGCAGAGTGTGAACCTGCCCTGGGGTGACGAAGGAGCAGCAGGAAGGTGCCAGTGAAGGCAGCAGGAGGTGGGAATGCTGGAGCTGCTTAACCTTGCTCAAGGAAAATGAGGTTTGGCAGCAGGAGAGCAGGGAGGGCTGTGATCCAGGTGCCAGCTCTGGAGCGCTGACCAGCCTGTCCGCCAGCCTTGATCATCATCATCTGGGCAGCAGCTGCTGGAGCAGCAGCAGGTACCGGGGTTGTGCTTGGCCTGGTTCTGCGCAGCTCTGGCTCAAGTGAATGCAATGCAATTCCAATCTAGAGCAAGCCAGGAGCAGTGAGGAGCCCTTGGGCAGCCTGGTCCTTCCCCCCAGCACAGCCCTTTGATCCTGGGCCAGCAGCTTTCCTATAGCTTGAACCTGCCTGAGGGGAGACTGAGCTGAGCTCTTAGGCAGAAGCTCTTCCCTGTGAGGGTGCTGAGGCGCTGGCACAGGGTGCCCAGAGAAGCTGTGGCTGCCCCATCCCTGGCAGTGCTCAAGGCCAGGTTGGACACAGGGGCTTGGAGCAAGCTGCTCCAGTGGAAGGGATCCCTGCCTGTGGCAGGGGCTGGAGCTGGAGCAGCTTTAAGGTCCCTTCCACACAAACCAGGCTGGGGTTCTACACATGCCTCCTGCCCTGTGGTTGTCCAGCTGGCGATGGGTTACTGCGGGCAGCCTCTGCCTGAGATGGGAAAGGTCTAAATTACCTCTAACTTGTCACATTTTGAGGGGCCACTTGATACCAGGGCACAAGAAAAGCTTTTAACCAGCTTCTCTATTGCTTGCTCTTACTGCTAGGTGAGGCTTGCTACCGTGGCTGAAGGAGCAGACAGGTAAAAGCCACCAGGCTGGCGTGAACTGATTCGTTTCTGATCCTTTCTAAAGATGGATAAAGGACTGCAGATGCTTGGGAGTTAAAGCAAGGAGCAGAAATGGCCTTTTTGTAACTGCTCTTTTCTCTGTTCAGCAGAGCCCTCTGGTTTGTGCCCTGCACAACTGTTCCCTGGGCTGTAGCAGGGGATTCATGCAGAGCAAGCATCGTTCCTTCAGCGCTGTCAATCAAGTTTCTTACAGTGCTATAATCCTTAAGGAGCTTTGAATCAGGAGATGTAAAACTACTCTAGCGAGCAGCAATGCCCTGTCTGCTTTGGGAATGCTTCATGTTGAACTGATGATGCAGAGCTTGAGCCCTCCTCTGCTCTGCTCTTGCCAGTAACCACAGCATGGTTATCGGAGCGACTGATGCTGTCAGGCACTGGTGGCATCTGGGTTGTGGCGGTGATAGCTCTGCCCTGTCTCATTTGCTGCAGCAGTCTGCTGACCGCCTTTCCTGGCACAAATAATTAATATCCAATGTAATCCTGCAGAAAGAATGAGCTTAATTTATTGCATTTGTTTAAACCTCGCAGTGTGCTCATCCATAGCGGGCCACGTGACTGCTGAGCTGGGGAGGGAAGGGCTGCTCAGTGAGATGGCATCTGCAGGGGCAGGAGAGGCTGGGGATGCAGGGGAGGGATGGATCCCAGCCTGGCTGGAGCTCTCAGTGCCAGCTGGCTGCTGGGTTTCATCCCTAGAGCTGCTCTTTTCTGGTATTCCACTCACGGAGCCAAGGGAAATATACATCAAAGCCAAAAAGGATTTCTATCTTTGCTCCTTGATCTCTGTATCTTGTGGCACTTGAGAATCAAGGAGAGAACAGTTTTGTGTCCTGTAAAGTGCTTATGGTGCATATGGATGCTTAATTTTAAACACCCAAGTAATACCAGTTACTTAAAATGAGTCTGTTTGAAGTTAAGTACGTGCTTAAGTCTACAGGGGGGTTTGTGCATGTGTCAAGCAGCCAAGGGGTGCTGGCACTTTATGCTTTTTGGAGCATGACCAAGTACGTGAAGAGCAGTGAAATGTCAATGGTAACAGAAAGACTTGCACTAATCCTGCTCTGGAGCAGGTTCTGTTTGATCTGGTTATGTATGAACCTCCTTGAGGAGAGCGTGCGTGTGTTTAACCTCACCAAGCCCACTGAATAGGAGCCTTCCATCTAGGAGAGGACTCATTATGCACTGATAGAGGGCCTCTGAGGAAAAGAGAATGAAAACTAATTGCTTCTCGCAATGGAGAATGAAGCTGGAGCTGTAAATGCTGGTACTGAAGACACCGGGGCTGCTTTCATGCTGGACTGCTTTGAAGTCATGGCAGGACATGGCTTTTCCTGATGGTTGGAGATGCGACGGTGGGTCGGTGATCTGGGTGGTGCTGCTGCTGAGGAGTGCTCCTGGTGCATGGTACAGGCTCGCTGAGGGCAGATTTTACCAGTTCCTCCTCTGTCTGAACCTATGTTATGCTGAGCTGTGAAGCACTGGTGATGAGGGCTACGTGGTTTACCCACACTGCATTGCTGTCCTGGGCTACCACGGCTGTGTGATGTGCATGGGGTTGGAACTAGAGGAAGTATGAGGTCCCTTCCAACTCAAACTATTCCATGATCCCTCCAAAAGGCCTGAGCTCCACGTACCTTTCACATTAACGTGCTCTCAGGTCCCTCCCCAGCCTCCCAAAGTGACCACTTGTGAGCTGTCCTGCCCAGCAGGACCAGTATCACTCTGTGGGTCATCATGACAAGCTCTGATGCTCCCATGCTCTCCTGTTCACAGGAGGCAGAGCGAGCGTGACCATTCAAGCTGAAGCTTCCTCAAGTATGACAAGGTCTTCAGGAGCTGAAGTCGGGCGTGTGTAATGTAATGCAGTTGGCAAACCTAATTATAGTAGGAGCTATTAGTAGAATGCATAATTATTTAAATTGTAGACAAAATAATCATTAAAATGACCTTCTTTGCCTTATCCTGGTAAAGGTCATCTAATCAGGATGCATTAATAAATCCCAGAGCTGCTCTGGGTAGGTAACGGGCCAATGTAGCTTCATTGCAAATCTGCATTCCGTTTTCCCACTGTTGGCAGCTTTAGAGGGTTTCTGTGATGCTGTCACCACGGTGCCTTTGGTCTTTCTAGGCTCTGGTTGCTGGAGATCAACATCAGTTTGTCTCTATCTTGGGCTCCTCCTTCCTCAGATAGCTCTGGAGATGGGTGTTTGTGCAGAGGAAAGTATTGTTGCCACTCGGGCTTAGGAGAGTGTGGGTCATACAGGTGGTGTTAGCCTGATGTGGTCTTCCCAGCATTGGTACGTGGTCGTTCTGCCCATGCACAGCATCACCGGATCCAAGCTGACACCTGTAGCCCCATGCAGAGGCGCGTTCTGCTTTCCCAAGTTTGGTCTCTTCTCTTAGAGGATTTGGGAGATGTGGGCTGGCAGCAGTTAGCAATGAGAATAACTGAGGATGCCATTTGTAGTACCTAAAAACTAGCAGCTTGTTCAAGATTTTCCTTTCTGGGGTTAGGGATGCCTGTTGCCATGTAGTGCCTTTGCACAGGGTA